CCTTTTATTTGCTTTTGAGATTGACAGACAACATTTAATTAAAAGATTTCCCATTGGTCTGGCCCAAAAAGGCGGGACATGTAGAAGGGGGGAGCGGCTTGTAGGTTATAGGTGGGTTCCACAAATTCTTAGGTCCGCTCACTAGATTAGAAGGGAAGATCCCTGTCTTAAAGAAAGGCTTAATCTACATCTCAAGGAAAAGGGAAGTTCTGTGTCTTGGGAAGGGATAAGCAAAAGAATATACTAATTGGTTGAAATATGCATCTCAAAAATACTATGCCAGGGACTGGAGGTAGGAAGAATCCTGTTAATAGAAAGTAAATGGTCTGTTAATGTTTGTGGGCATGACTTCCCCAGTCCCCTTTTGAAAAGATTTTGGAAAAATAGGAAAAGTAGTCAGACTTCTGTCCACATTCTTTAATGAAGTAATATTTTCTATGCCATTCCCTAAAGCTTTTTAAATAATATTGTCCACACAGAAGTAGCTAAAGTGGCTATCTCATCCTCATCTCAGCCTTTTTTAGTGGGGCTACTGGTCATCGGAATTCGTTCAAGCCTCTAATAATTTGATCTTTGTTTTTTCTTTTTAATTTGCTACATGCATGTGTGCCCAGTGTGTTTTTCAAGCCACTTGGTCCAGGACTCAAACCACCCAGCCAGTCATGTGGGATCTAGCCACCTCATCCACCATGCCAGCTGGCCCAAGCCCCTACTAATTTTAAGAGTAGTCACAATAATTAAATAGACTCTATTAGAAGCTATAAAAAAAAAGGTTATTTTTTCCTCCCAAATACCAAATTTAAGAAATTATTTACTGGGTAAGTTTGATGCTTTCCTTATGATGATCTTGTCCTTTTAAGTAATTTAAAAACTAATAGTTGTGTTTTTAAGTACAAATGTAATTTGTTCTATGTTTGGTAAATTCTACCATCAATGTCAAATAAGTTTGAAATAGCACTGGTGCTAGGAAGATATTTAGCTTCTGAAAAGTCATAAGTAATTCCAATTTAAAAACTAGTCAAGGGCCAGCTTTCCTTTGTGTGTGTGTGTGTGTGTGTGTGTGTGTGTGTGTTTCTCTTTTTAAATGAATTTCCTTTATGAGCAAGAGAAACAGATAGAAGGTACCTCCAACGGGGTCCTGGTGCCACAGTTCATGCCCAACCTCAGTTAGCTCTGAATCACGGGCACGTGCATGCCCAGTGTACTCAGGGAGGTGTCTGGATGTGAACCCTGAACCTTCCTATTTGGGTCAGCCTTGCAGAGCATCAAGTTTTACCACTACATAACTGTCCAGCCCTCTTCTTTGTTTCTAACTGGTATCTTACAGTTGAAACTGTTTCAATGTTAACTGTTTTAATTGCCAGTGAGAAGGAAATCATTTTATTTATTTATTAAGGTTTTGACATAGGGCATGTGTGCCTGCCAGAGACAGAGAGACAGTGAGAGGGAAAGTGAGAAATCACCCCACAGCAGGGATGGCCACTCCACAATCCCTTTTCCTCCAGTCTCCTGTTGAAAGGTTTTTACCAGCAACTCGCTGAACCTCCTTGTCCAGGGAGTGTTATGGCAATGGCGACCCCAATCAACCACAAAAGTCGGTTCTTGATGTAAAATACAAGAGGCTTTATTGCTAGCGCGCTAGGACTCCACTCTCAGTCATACAAGACATGGCTAAGAGTGAAGTCCCGAACATAGGAGTATTCAGGTTATATAGACATGAGTCCATGGGGTGAGGGGAGGAAGCAAGATAAGGGGTTTCAAGGGTAATCTTATGGCGACCATTTGGTCAGGCTTGCAGGAGCATTTGATCTGGGTTTCTGGGGTTAGCAGAAGGGAGGAATTTTACACTACAAAGGTCGGGGCTAGCTTGCCAGACTAGCTTGCAAATGGCTCCAGGCTCCCTGCAAGGTGTTAACAAATTACCCCAGGTTTCCACAACTTCAGCAGCATCTGCTTTAGTACAGAAGCAAAAGAGGCAAAGGTTAGACTTTATCTTTGTAAGACAGGCTAATCTAATTTTATTCTTACATATTGAGAAAATTGCCACGTTTGACAATTCTCATGATACAGTAACAATCTTAAATATTTTAAAATTAATTTGGCAGTCAATCATGTGGGTAGGAGTCTGGTGCCTTAAGTGTCATGCCACCTACTGGCCCCAAGAAGTCATTTTATATTACTACTATAGTTTTAGTTATATAAAAAGAGAAAATTGGGACCAGCAGATGGCATGCAGTTATGTCGCTGGACTCCCACATGGCCAAGCACAGTTTGAGTCTCAGACCCAGTTGCTTGAAACTCATGATAGGGGTGTGTGTGTGTGTGTGTGTGTGTGTGTGTGTGTGTGTGTAAATCCCAGGAGGACAGTGGATATTGTGCCATGGCCATCCCTCCTAGGGTGATTTCTCACTTTCCTTGTCTCTATCTCTCTCTCTCTGGTCAGTGTGCATGCCCTAAGGCAAAAACCTCAAAAAGAATGAAGAAGGGAAAATTGAGATAATTTCAAAGTTTTTTTTAAAGAATTATTTTATTTAACTTTATTTATTTATTTTAATTTGACCAGAGAGGGATAGAGTGAGAGGGAGAGAGAAGGAAAGTGAGAAAGCAAGCCACCAGGTATAGGACTCGAACTGTGGTCGGCCATGTGGGAGTCCTGCATCATTAACCACCATACCACCTGCTGGCCCCAAGATGATTCCAAAGTTTTGTCTGAATCAACTTGAATGTAAATCCACATGAACGTAATCAGTGGCTTGTATTTCAGTAACTGAAATCTTTAGACCCAAAGGGGATATCTCCGTATACAATAGAATCAGAATTCAAATTTCCTGTGGTGCTAGGTTACAGGTGGTTGTCTGAAATCGAAGTCTGGCTTACTGAGAGGAAATCTAGGTTTGTTCTCATTGTTTAACAGTGAATCATGAAGGGATAAACTGGACTAAATCATGGAAGTTTTGATGGAGATAGATTTGTGAATGATAGAACTTCACCCTTCCTTCTTCCTTTGAGGTAGAATGGGTCACTCAAAATGTAAATTTCAGTGTGCAGTATTATGTTGTGTTAGTCTATATAGGTTATATTTACATACTTACTTAATTTGTAAATCAAAATTAGTTTTAATAACACACCTTTTTTTAAGACAGTTTTTTTTTTGAGAGAGACAGAGAGAGAGAGAGAGATTTTTGCTATAGGGTGCGTGTACTCGCCAGAGAGACAGAAAGCAAGAAATCACCTCTCGGGGGGATGCCCACACCACAATCCCTTCTGCTCTATACTCCTCTTGGGATCTTGGGCATGTGTGCACACTCACCCGTAGTGAGTTCTTTTTGTTTATTTTTAAAGAGATTTTTGCTATAGGGTGCGTGCGCTCACTGGAGTGACAGACAGAAAGTGAGAAATCTCCCCATCCCCCGCCCAGGGAATTGGCCATGCTTCAAACCCTTCTCCTCCATTCTCCTCTTGGGATTTTTGGCACACACATGAACCCAATGTGAGTTTTAAGCTGTCAGGTCTGGGACTCAACTCGCAGTCAACTATGTGTGAGTCCAGTGACATAACCATTAAGTCATCTGCTGGTCCCAACCTGGCGTCAGTTTTTAGTCTCCATGTCCGGGACTGGAACCATGGTCCACTGTGTGGGAGTTCGATGATGTAACCATTATGCCATCTGCTGGTCCCTAATGATTCACTATTTAAAGTCTTGTCCAATTACTAAGATAAAAAATATTGGAAGAAGAAATTTTAGTTGTAAGTCACCTAATATGTACAACATAAAACAAGGCATTAATAACAGTAATGAATAAAGAATACTTACAAATAGATAAGGATAGATGTGGAAATAAAAAAAGGAGAAATGTAAGTTACCAAAACACATAAAAATATTCAGCCTCATTAGCAATCAAAGATGTAAATTGGAACAGTTGTGAGATAAACATTTTTTTTAGAGGTTTTTGCTATAGGGTGTGTGCATTTACCAGAAGGACAGTGAGAAACAGAGAGACAGAAAGTGAGAAATCACACCCTCCCCCAGGGGGATGGCCACGCCACAATCCCTTCTCCTCCATCCTCCTCTTGGAATCTTGGGCACGCACACACAGGCGCCCGGCGTGAGTTTAAGCCACTGGGTCCAGAACTCAAACCGTGGTCCACTACATGGGAGTCTAGTGACATAGCCATTACGCCAGTTGCTGGTCCTGAGATAAAAATTTTTTTCAGTATCCATTAGGTGGTTGGGAAAGTCATAACACCTTTTTGCATAGAAAAGTATGTCATGGGGCCAGCAGGTGGCGTGGTGCTGGAATTCCCACATGGCTGGCTACGGTTCGAGTCCGGACCTGGCGGCTTGGGGTCTCACTCTCCCACTCTCTCTGTCTTTCTCTGGCAAAAACTTATGTAAAAAATAAATAAATAATCCTTTAAAAAAAAAAATAAAAAGTATGTCATGACTTTCCTGACAACCAGATAATTTACAAATATTAAAAAAAAAAAAAGAATGCCTGTTGGTGATGCGGGTGCTGGGAAATGGCAGGCTCTGTATACAGTTGTTGAGAGGAGTCTAATTTAAGATACCTTTTTAGGGGGTAATGTGATGACACATAGAAAAGAATCTTTCTGCATACTTAGCAGTTCCATCTTCAGGAGTTTATGCTGTGAAAGGGATCCTGGATGTACACCAGGAGTTTGGGTGTTCATTACAGCATTAACTGTAATGGTAAAGTGGTCACCTTCTAAATATCCAATATTTAGGCTAAGTAAATCATAGTATATCCCTGCTACAACTTCTATACAGTCATTAAAAACTGTGTCGTGAGGTTATTTGTTGCTGCATTGCTTATCATTAGACAATGTTCGTTGTTAGAGAATTGCTAAAAACAAAGTGAGGTGCACCTATCCAGTTGAAGCTCTTTATCTATACTGAATGATGTCCGAAGATAGTATGTCAAGGGGCCAGCAGGTGGCGTGGGGGTTAAGGTGCTGGACTCTCACATGACTGAGGACAATTTGAGGCCCAGACCTGGCAGCTTGAAAATCACTCCGGGTGCATGTGCATGCCTATCCAATATCTCAGGAGAATGGAGGAGAAGGGATTCTGGTGTGGCCATCCACCTGGGGAGTTATTTCTTGCTTTTCTGTCTCTCTGAGCCCATGTGGTCTATGGCCAAAAAAAAAAAAAAAAAAAAGATGGTATGTCAAGTGGAAAGAAAGCTGAGTGCAGGCAATTGTGTGTATGCTACTGCTTGGGTGAAGTGAAAGCGCAGGTATAGGTGTGGCCAGTATACCTATGAGAGGATGCATGAGAATCTGGTAATCTTGGGAACTGGGTCTCTGGGAGTCAGAAGGAAGGTGAAGAATGTGTATTCCTTCACATGAATATGTAACTATTAAAATATTGGGTGGTTGGGAAAATCATGATGCATTTTTGCATAGAAAAACAGAAAAATATGCCATGACTTTCCCAACAACCTAATACTTCGAGTGTTTAAGTCAAATTGTTAAAAGTTGTTCATGGGAGGTAAAAAGTACAGAGTATACAACTTACATGAATAATATGAGCCAGATTTTCTTTCTTAAAACTCTGTATATGTGATATTCCATGGAGGACTAAGCGAACAGCAGTGGTGAGCTTCTGGGTTACTTAGAGAGTCGTCTTCATTTGCCTGAACTGTGTTTGCTAGATATTCTGCAATAATTCTGTATTTCTTATATAAGAAAAAAATAAGGTTTTTATTAGAACTTAAATTTGACTTTGTAATGATCTTTCCAATTCTAAACTTTATTTCCCAAGAATTTACTGAAGTTGGACCCAGCTGACAGATATTTGACAGAACAGTGTTTGAATCACCCTACATTTCAGACCCAGAGACTTTTGGATCGTTCCCCTTCAAGATCCGCGAAAAGGAAGCCTTACCATGTGGAAAGCAGCACATTGTCTAATAGGTAAATATTCCCTTTTAAGGAAATACAGATGCACTGTTGGTCTTACAAGTAGGTGGAGGAGGTGGCTGCTTAAATGATGCAATTAGAGAAAAGAAGGAAAGCCCTCTTTATTCAAAAATATCTTCCTTATGCTTATTACATGATTCAGAACCACAATTAAAGAGTTGTGTGGGTCTCAAAGACTTTCTTATCTTTAACAAGTATATTATGGAAACCTGTGCATTCCCTGGGAAAGGTAGCATTGGATTAGCAACTGAGGAGGTTTTCCACCTCAAGAACTAGAATATTCTGTGTAAAGGGGACTCAAAGGGCTGATGCTTGGAAGAAGAAAGATGAGCAAGGGCAAAAGGATTCCTAGAGGAAGAAAAGGATGTCAAACACGGGTAGGTGGCAGGGTCCTTAGGACAGCCAAGTAGGTATGGCTCTGTAGAAGGGGTTTGGAGTTTTATTGCTCTTGTCTCATAGTTACTGAGATGAGACAGTAATTTCTCATAAGAAAGAAGAATATGGGAAACAGCAGTTAGCTTAATGGCTATGTCGCTGGACTCCCACATAGTTCACCGCAGTTCGAGTCCAGACCCAGTGGCTTAAACTCACGCTTGGCGCGTTTGCATGTGTGCCCAAGATCCCGAGAGGAGAATTGAGGAGAAGGGATTGCGGCGTGGCCATCCCCCCCCCCGGGGGGGTGATTTCTCCCTTTCTGTCTCTCTGTCCCTCTCTGTCTTTCTGGAGAGCACACGTGCCCTATAGCAAAAACCTCTCCAATAAAAAAGAAAGAAAGAAAGAAGAATATGAAAGCCAGTGATTAAAATTGGTGCTATTTAAATACGTTTTTTAGCATGATATTTAAAAAATCAGTTTTGGGGCCAGTAGGTGGTATGGTAGTTGAGGTGCTGGACTCCCACATGGCTGACCACAGTTTGAGTCCTGAACCTGGCAATTTGCTTTCTTTCTCTCTCCCCTTCTCTCTCTCTGGTGTGCACACAGCCATATAAAAAATTAAAATAATAATAATGAAATTAAATGACTAGTTATTAAAAAAAATAAAGAGGGGGATCCAGCAGGTGGCGTGGCAGTTAAGGCGCTGGACTCCCACATGGCTGACTGCAGTTCTAGTCCTGGACCTGGTGGCTTACTTTTTCACTTGCTCTCTCTCAGGTGAGTGCGTATGCCCTATAGCAAGTTGAAAAATAATAATGATAATAAATAAAATTAAATAGATAATTCTTTGAAATTAAAAAAAATATACTAATTCCCCTGATCAAGCCGTAGAAGCGTGCTCTGGCAGATGCTGCTTCTCGGTAGGCCGGGGCCACATGGGATGCCCGTTTCCAGCCTGCCCTAAAAAAAGCCAGGCCCGGTGCTATGCATGGTAGTCCCAGTGACCTAGGAGGCTGACGCAGGAGGATCGCAACACAGTGGGACTCAGAAAAACAAAAACAAAAACCTATTTCTGAAACACGCACAGACACACACATGCATAGACAAGGTTAAACCACAAAATCAGGTTGTCTTTCTGGACCTGATGTTCCCCGATTCCACTGGCTGCATTTACAGGAGGATGGGGTCTTAGTCATGGTCTCCTTGTCTTACTACTTCTCACAAGAAGCTGATCTTGTCATCTGTGATTGTTAGCTTATGGGAGCTAAGAAATAGTTTCTCTCATCTACTATTAGAAGAGAAGTAGGAAACGATAAATGTGTGTGTGTGTGAGAGAGAGAAAGAGACAGACAGACAGACAGACAGAGATTTTTGCTACAGGGTGCATGTACAAGAGACAGGCAGAGACAGAGACAAAAAATGAGAAGTCACCCTCCCAGTGAGGTTGGCCACGCCATAATCCCTTCTCCATTCTCCTCTCAGGATTTTGGGCATGTATGCACACGTGCCCAGTGTGAGTTCTAAGCCACCAGGCCCAAACCTTGAACCATGGTCAACTACATGGGAGTCCAGTGATGTAACCATTATACCATCTGCTGGTCCCAGAAACAATTTTTTATATGAAGCATTTCGAATGAAAATTTCCCCCTCTTCCATTCTCAAATTTTCCCTCCATATAGAACAATTGTTAACAGATTGGAATTTTGATAACTCAAGACTTGACACTCTGGGAGAGCATCCGTCAGTGGGTGACAACCATGTACCCTAGATTTCCTGCCCCCTGAACAGGGACTCACTTGAGTCTTGGAGTTACCCAGTAGAGACTTGCACTGTTCCTTGGGAACCTCTTTAGGGATCTACTAAGGAGGATGTGTATGTTCATGGTGTTTTCAGGGGGCACAGAGGATATGATTTGTGTGGATCTTTAAGGAGTCTTCCCAAATGGCCCTGGAAGTAGGCCAGAATACAAATTATAAGTAAATAAAAATTGCTGGAAGAATTCACTCTGAGGTCTTGGCATCGTATTGACTATATTAAGAGAGAAAGTCCTTAGGAATGATCTTACCTCACTTCACATGCATCTCAGGCCTCTGTCTCCATGCTTGTCTATGGTCTGACTTACTCCCCCTTGTCAGGGATCAGTCTTGATCTCGACATAGACTACGGCTCCCTTGCACTTTCCAGGACCATTTTAGAGATGCTCGCAACACCGTGTCACATTGATTGCCACTTACATATTCCCCTGCCTTGTCCCTAGAGACACAAACACACTGTCACATACCCTGTCTTCCATTCTGTCCTCTCTAGGGGAGGCAGTGGACTCTCACACTGCTTAGCCCCTGCCTGTTTCCTTCAGGCTCTCTGGAGTCTCTGCTCATGGTGGACTCGACATGATGCTGCCTCAGCTGCCCCACACTCCACTGTCCCCACTCCTACTTCACCAGCCTTCTCTGTAAAAATACAGCCTTGCCCCTTTAATGTTTGCTTTCAAAACCTTCACTAAACACATTAACTGGCTGGGTGTCCATCTATCCATCTAGCCTGTCAAACATTTCAGAATTTACGTATAAAATTTTCTCAATTGGTGAGCAGTGTAACACAGATCCTTGCAGTGTGTGTCAGAGAGCTCTATGGAGTTTCCAGAGGTGCACCTCAGCAGAGCTCCATTGTGAAGATATGCTGCCCTTTCTCCATTGGAATCCCGTTCAAAGCTCAGTGGCTTCCGATTAATCCAGAGACAGCAACATTCAGAATAGCAGTTTAGGGTCTTTATACATTTCAGGAAAACTGAACGCTTTGACAAATGTGTCTTCCTTAACTTTATAGCTTCCCTTTTCATGTTAGAAATGGTAGCTCACATTGCTATGGATGTGTTTCTCCTCAGGCCATACTTGGTTTTGTGTTCACACCAGTGGTGGTGTCTCTAAGAATTCCAGATACTCCAACAGCTCTCCTTGCTCTTCTCTGTCCTTTTCTAGTCCTCTTGAGCTTAGGACATTTCCGAGTGTCTGCACGTGTTATCTCTCCACCTTTACTGTCCCTAGGCCTCAAGGGGAGAGGGGAGGAAATAGGGTTGCGAGAGCCCAGGGAGGGCTCAGGCTAAGAAGTCCCCCAGTGGGAGACATCATTGGAAACAACACGGCTGCCATCCGAGTCAGGGCGTGGATGCCAGGAAGGGGCAGGGAAGACATTCCTCAGCGTCTTTCTGCTCTTGTCCTACAGCGCCTTCCTCTGGCAAGCCCCACCAGATGTGAACCAGCGAGGGGACCTGGGTGACACGACACAGACTAGGGCCTTAGGTGCCTGAGGCCCAGGGCCTAGCTGAGAGGCTGGGAATGGATCCAGGGTTGGACAGATGGAGAGGAACCAGCACAGTTGGGTCTGTGTGTGGGTGAGACAGTCATTGTATGGGTTTTGTACAAGTTGCTGAGATATTTTAGTTATCAAGGTAGAATCCGATGACTCTGTTGGTTTAGAACCTGAGGCTTTTATGACACAGACTTGTTGATCTAGGGATGGACTCATTGACATCATTTAACAGAAGGTGTGACTTAACTTTCCCTTTCTGTCATTTATGTCCAGGCCTGGGGTTTGCCATTTAGTTAGCTCATACTGAAGTGTCCTTATTCAGTGCTCCAGTTCTTGGGACCTAACTGGGAGAGATTAGTGAGTGCATTTTGGAGACAAGGCTTCCCACACCATCGCAGGCTTGCTTGATAAATCTGATGGCTTACAGACACTCTCATTGAGAAAATTGGAAGGCATAGTTTCACAGATTACTATTCCACATGGACGAAAAAAGGACTTCTCTTCCAATTAATGTGAGAACAGAACTTTCCCAAATTAAACCATCTTCAGTGATAGTAATACTTATAGCAGAATTTCCTGGATGCATAGTAAAAAGGGAATTGTGTAAATCATTATTCATTTTTAAGCATTCTCACCTATCCCAAGATATAATTCGGCCTTTTAAGTAATTACAAACTGACCTTGCTTCTGGTGTCAGTTTGAGCTCTCAAATGGAGGCCAAGGTTTACCTCTGGATTTATATTTTGTGTTTCAAACCAAGTAGGAGATGAAGCTTTAAATCCTAAAGAAGGCCTCGTTCCATTTGGAATAATGAAGTATGAAAGGAAGAAGAGAAAAAAAATTGTCTTTTGGAGAGAAATGAACTCTTTCAGGTTTCTGTGATCCACTGTGGTAGAGGACTCCTGTTTCTTGTACAAAGAGAGCTGAAGATCTGCAAATAACGGCCACTTTTTGAAGCATAAACATTGAACAGCACACTTTCCAAAAGACCTTGCTAGGCAGTTTCTATTTCTTTTCAGAGTGCCATTTTCTTTCATTGACTACGTCGCTAGAACTCTCCTTTGACTATACAGGCTAGAGACAAAAAGAGACATTGGTGTCTGTCTGTGCTGTGAGTACGTATCTGTCTCTGAGCAGGCTGTGAAGTTTTACAAACAGAAACGAAGTTCAAGGGACGCAGTAATGTTCAAGTCTAAATGTTGTCTTCCGACCTTCAGGCAGACAAAAGGATTTTAGAGAGTTTTTCCGTAGCTCGGCACTGTCTTTGCAGACGTCCTGCATGTGTGTGATGTAACAAAAGTGTGTGTGTTCCAGAGGAGTGGTTAGAAACTGTCGGCAGTGAGGAAGCCGAGCTTTTAAGGATGCCGGAAGAGCTTCATTGGTCCCATGCTTTGTTCCAGAGGAACCTGATCTTAGGACCTTTCTTCTTCTTTTTAAAGAATTATTTGTTTAATTTTATTTATCTGTTTTTCATTTGACCAGAGAGAGAGGGAGAACGCAAGCTGCCAGGTCCAGGACTTGAACTGCGGTTGGCCATGTGGGGGTCCAGCACCTTAACCACCATGCCACCTGCTAGACCCCAGGACCTTCTTTCTTGTTGATAGGTTCCTAGTTACTGGTAGGCAGCCCATGTTTGAGGGAGTTAATGTTTTCGGTCTGTGTTGAGTATGTGCTCTTTTCTTTTCAAACACAGTACTATTTGTCTGTTTGCTATTGAGGGAGACTCATACCCTTCTTTTGTTTTTAACTTAGAAACCAAGCCAGCAAAAGTGCCGCTTTACAGTCTCACCACAGATCCAACAGCAAGGACATCCAGAACCTCAGCGTCGGGCTGCCCCGGGCTGACGAAGGTCTTCCCGCCAATGAAAGCTTCCTGAATGGAAATCTTGCCGGAGCAACTCTTAGTCCGATGCACACCAAAACCTACCAAGCAAGCACTCAGCCCGGATCTGCCAGCAAAGATCTCACCAACAACAACATACCACACCTTCTCAGCCCAAAAGAAGCCAAGACAAAAACAGAATTTGATTTTAACATTGACTCAAAACCTTCAGAAGGCCCCGGCTCAAAGTACCTCAAGTCAAACAGTAGATCTCAGCAGAACCGGCACTCGTTCATGGAAAGCTCCCAGAGCAAGGCCGGTACCCTGCAGCCCAGTGAGAAGCAAAGCCGTCATAGCTACATCGATACCATCCCCCAGTCCTCTAGGAGTCCCTCCTACAGGACCAAGGCCAAAAGCCATGGGGCACTGAGTGACTCTAAGTCTGTGAGCAACCTTTCTGAAGCCAGGGCCCAAATCGCAGAATCCAATACCAGTAGGTACTTTCCATCCAGCTGCTTGGACTTGAACTCTCCCACCAGCCCGACTCCCACCAGGCACAGCGACTCGAGAACTTTGCTCAGCCCCTCGGGGAGGAATAACCGAAGCGAGGGCACTCTGGACTCACGCCGAACCTCAACCAGGCACTCCAAAACGATGGAGGAGTTGAAACTGCCGGAACACATGGACAGCAGTCATTCCCATTCACTGTCTGCACCTCACGAATCCTTTTCTTACGGCCTGGGCTACACCAGCCCCTTCTCCTCTCAGCAGCGTCCTCATAGGCATTCCATGTATGTGACTCGGGACAAAGTGCGAGCCAAAGGCTTGGACGGAAGCTTGAGCATAGGGCAAGGGATGGCAGCCAGAGCCAACAGCCTGCAACTCTTATCACCCCAGGTACAGCCTCGCATCTTGGTCAGACACGGTGGCTCGCTGTGGGGAGGTGGTGCAGGGGATGGGAACTGGGCTCACCTGCAGTTGCCCTGCTGTGGTAGGCCATAGTTTTCTTTTTTTTTTTTTTTGAGAGATTTTCACTGTAGGGCGCGTACGCTCGCTAGACAGACAGAGAGAGACATAGAGACAGAAAGCGAGAAATCACCCCCCAGGGGGATGGTCACGCCGCAATCCCTTCTCCTCCATTCTCCTCTCGGGATCTTGGGCACGCACACACACGCGCCCGGCGTGAGTTCTAAGCCACTGGGTCCAGGACACGAACCGCGGTCGACTACGTGGGAGTCCAGCGACATAGCCATTATGCTAACTGCTGGTTCCCATAGTTTTCTTGATAGGATGCATTTAAGGAAGCAATACCCAGACAAAGCTCTGCTTAAGAGAAAGAAAGAAAAATTATTTAAGTCAATTGTTGAGTACACAGGAGAACTCAAAAACTTGTTTTCAGTAATCCATTTCCTCTCTTAAATGTTCCTTTCTAGTGTATTTTGTTGAGAGAATCCGATTTTCATTTATTGTAGAATTTATCCACTATGTGGGTTAGTTCTTAGTTTTCTCAAAATTCAGTGTACGTACATTCATGGGTATTTTCTTTAATCTCTCTAAACCACATTTGCTTAAATCAAACCTTTTTTTGCTAATACCTTATTCAATATTGTAACTGAATTTTAAAGTTTTTAATTTATCCAGAACTGTAGATAAATTTAACTTCATGCCAGGAGAAATGTTCATTTTCAGTCTTTTGGATTGTTTTTAAATCATAAGGCAACATTTTTTTTTTTTTCCATCTTAGGATCGTGAAGCCCTGGAACTGATTCTAAGCAGCCTAAAACAAGCAGCATTCTGACAATAGGAGACGTTTTTTCAAATATCATTTTCATGGTCTCACGTATACAGCACTGTGCCGGGTGCCTGGCGCAGACCAAGTGTCTAACAGACTATAGTTGCTGCAGCTGCTTCTGCGGTGGGTGATGGCGGGAGCTGTTACTTAGAGGCTGAGCACCTTCTCTGTGGGAGGTGTTGTCAGGCACTCAGAAGACTCCGAGAGGGTTCTTGCGTTTGAGAAACTTCTAATAATTAAGACGCACGTTGATATGGTTCCAGCTATACATAGGAATTGAGAGTGGGGAGAGATCGTTGTGTGTAGTTCAAAATGGCTTGAAGGGCAAGCAGAGGTCTTGCTGCAGGCAAAGGGTATAGACATGTTTTGAATGGCTAAAGTGTGAAGGTATGTTCAGGCATGGCTTGAACTAGATTCCAGGAGAGGCTGTAGTCAGAGGAAATCGCAGTGGCCCCTACCCTCTTGGAGAATATGGGCTGGCAGGCAACACCTGCCAACGGATGGGCCATCGCCATGGCACTGGGCTGCAGTCTGCTGTGCTAGAGGCATGCATGCGTGCCCAAGGGGGAGAGAGCTGCCGGTCAGTCGGGCAGTGTGGCGGGATGCTCCCAGAGGTAGTGATGTGTAAGCAGAGGCTTAGGAGGGTTGGGATTTAACTCAGGGAGTGTGTGATGACAGTTCCAGGAAAGGCTCGAAGGCAGGGAAGAAAGAGCACTGCAAGGAGAATGTAGCTGGAGACTTTCAACGGTGTGTGTGCTTCAGGGGTTGCAGCTTTTCTTGCACTGCTAGAGTGGAAAATGCCAGATTTGGGTGGCTTTTACCATGATCCAAGCATGAAGGTGAGGATTTAGTCAATGCCAGTGGAAGACAGCAGTCATAAGCCTCCCAACAGGGATAGTGGGCCCTGTGTGTTCGGGATGGAACAGAAAGAAAAGCAAGACTGGCGTTTCTTTGCTAGCAGCTCCTTTTCAGAGTGAAAGAAAGCATTTTTGAGGTGACCTAAGTCAAGCCTTCATTTCACAGATGGGCTTGCTAAGACTCAGGAGCGTTGGGTGAGTCACCCAAGTATACCCAGCTTCTTGGGGGTGGGGGTTGTTGGGGCAGTCTTGCCCCTGAGGCTGGTGCTCTTTCCACTCTTCCCTGCTGACATGTGGCTGAGGTGACCTGGGCTCTGAAGCAGAGGTGTACCCTCCCAGGCTGGAAAGGCGTCTCCCCCATGGACCAGGAGAGGGCAGGAGGTATACATTTGCGAAGGCAGAAGAGGAGTCATAGGAATGGCCGAGGAGACCCCCAAGGAGTCACTGTAGAGAGGAGGGAAAGAGCGCCAGAGCCTGGCAGCTGCCCATGGGCAGAAGATAGAAGTCCCAGCCAGGTCGAGCATGACTTCATATAAAACAGAAGTAAGAAAAGTGAAAAGCGACTTAACTTAGGTAAAGGATATGTGACTGACTCTCTGAGAATTCAAGAAACAGGGTTTTTGTGACCATGGTAGTCACAACCTAATTCTGAGAGTTCCTGTGGGCTAAGCAGAGATCTGACTGTTTCTGAAGGCCAGGTCAGGAGCGCAGCCTAAGGACACAAAGATGGCGGAAGGCTTGAAAAGCAACCAGAGCTGTGTGTGAATCATGGGAATCCTCTAGTGCCAAGTATTATGGCCACCTTCAAAGCACAGGGACTCAGTTTAGGTTACATGTAAGTCATTTGTTCCCTAAAATCCTTTTCTAGAGGCCTTCATTAATAATACAGGTGGTTAAAGTCAAACCAGATTTGGTCATAAAATAGGAAGAAGAAAGGCTCCATTGAATGGACTCCTGCCCAGAATCCTCAGAGTCCATTTGGGAAGTGAGGGGGAGGAAGACAGAATTGCATTTTAAGTTTTAATGAAGATGTTTTTGATAGATCACGTAGGCTTGAGATGATGCTCTTTCTGTGCGTAAGGTGTGGACATGCAACGCACCTAACTCCTTTGATAGCTTGGTAATTTTCTTCCATCATCTTTTTTTTTTCCAAGCGTAGAAAATGCTACATGTTTTTCCTCTTCAGTGAGCACCACTGTGGCCCAAAGTGCTGTTCTTAGCTCATGACTCACTTCCTGGAGAAAGCTAGGTGATAGTGCTCCGGAGATGAGCACTGGGAAAATACCCGAGGCCTAAGTGCTGCCGACCTAGACAAGATGAGGATGAGAACTTAAGCTCATGAGCTATAGTAGCTAGGGAATTTTAAGACAAAAACGACTAAGTGGGCTTTATTCCGTTCCTTGATACATTCACAAAAACCTTATTTTCGTCTGAATCTGCCATATAAGTCCTTCAAAGAAAAATAATTTTTGGACCCGCACAGTTCTTTTTTGAACTCAGCCAAAAATCTGCTAGAAGAATTTTGAATTAAATAATAGAATCTTGACTCCAAGTGCCGCTCAGAACCATGACTGCTTAGATAAGAGAGGCTTTTTTTTTTTAATAATTAATTGAACTATTTTCAGACTAATTTATTCCCAACTTGCTATAACTTTAATGAGAATTTCACTTTCCATCTGTGTGAAATTTGTTTGACTTATTTTACATTCATCAGATGATTCACTCTGTATGGGACAATTTGTGTTTTAGCCAACATTTTTTATTTTAGCTGTTAAAGGGACTGGTTATGCCAGATAAAGACTGTGATGACTCTCCTCCCTGGGATCAGGATGCTCTTTTAAATCTCTTTAAATTTGACTTCTAGCCTGGAGAACAGCTCCCTCCAGAGATGACCGTTGCAAGATCTTCTGTTAAAGAGTCCTCCAGAGAAGGCACCTCTTCATTCCACACGCGTCAGAAGTCCGAGGTCTGAATCCTTCCGGGTTGCAACATTTTACCATAAAACATGTCTATAGAGATTGCTCATTCTACATCATGACGGCCTAGGTTTGCAATTCATTCATACCCTGTCTCCCACAAATACGTTGACCTGGCTTAGAAAGTAAGCAGTCTTCCTCATGCCATCATCCCGACTTGTCTGTTTAAAAGATTGTGGAGTAAATTATGGGGGGATTAGGTCCTCTGGCACATTCGTAGGCTACATTCTTATCCATCTGTGGTGTGACTTTTTCAAACTTGCTTCCTGCCTCAGGGTGGCGTGTATCATGACCCTCATTCTGACGATGGCACAGCTCCCAAAGAAAACAGACACCTATACAATGATCCTGTCCCAAGGAGAGTCGGTAGCTTTTACAGAGGTAAGCCCACCCCCCAGTCCTCTCCTCTCTCCCTCGCTCCCCATCCAGCCTGGGCCCTCAGATGTCTTCACTGCCCTGACTGCCTGAGCGGCAGTGGCCTTGCTGACACTGTCACCTTCCAGCAGTTCCCCCTGCCTCTGGCCCCACCATCTTAGGTCAGGCCCTGCTGCCTTCTGAGTTGGTTTCTTGAGTAGCCTCCTTACTGGCCTCCCTGTCTCCAAGATACCTATCAGAAAGAAGGGCCTGCCCCATAGCCTCGTAGCTAGGGGAGCTGGATACCACATAGCCAACCATGCAGTCTAAATACTGGCCCTGGAGGCTTGGAAAACATGCCAAGTGTATGTGCATGTGTAGCCAAAATCTTGACGTGGAAGAGAAGGGATTGCTGAGTGACCATACCCTATTGGAGATCGGAGGGGTACTTTCTCTCCCCGACCCTTGTCTTTCTGTTTCTGGTGAGCGCATGTATCCAATGACAAGAAAAGGTCCTGGGATAGCTATACTAAAGCTGTGACCTGACCATACCACTCATTCAGTGATGTCGTAAAGAATTCATCAATGCACCTCTGTGCTTGGCATTGTTCTGGCTTAGAACATATCAGTAAGCAAGACAGCCAGAGGGCTCCATGTCCATAGAGCTCACATTCTCTAGACGGGAGATAGGCAGTAAATGTATTGATAATAATGATACAAAGGAGTAAAGAATAAAAAGTGCTACGGAAAAAAAAATAGAGGAAGCAACCCATTGTCCCCCCTCATCTCCATCTCCATGCCCCTATCTCTCACCCATTGAGAGTCCTCTGGCTCCCCAGTTACATTAGGATAAAATCTGAATTCCCTAAGATGGCATTCCAGACTTCCCCTGGTCTAGCCCTGGCCTTCCTGCCTGGTGCCATGCCCAGCTAGTGTCCTTTGGCCTGAAACACAATCCTCCCCCTGCTGGTCAGCTTGCTTCGATCCCTTTCTGTGAGGTCCTCTCCATTCAAGGTCTGCCCACCCACTGCAGATGAAGCTCCTTCCCTGTCCACCCACGTGGGATCCAGTGCCTCATGCGTGCCTCTGTGTAACAGCCCACATTGCAGTGGCTCTTGGTCTGCATTGCCCCCGCAAGGATGGGAACCCCTCAGAGATCTGAGTTCTTCATCTTTTCCTCTTCTTACTCTCATTTCTAGTCTGTTGTCACTGCTTAGCACAGTTTGACAAATATTTGTCCACTGAATTAAAGAAAGATTTCGAGTATACTTGCACAGCCTTAAAAACGTACTTTGATATTTAACAGATGACTGAAACAGATGCTTTTGCAGTTGTATGAATTTAGGAGACTTTGATAAAGGCAGTCCTTTTTAGTTCCCAAACACCCTTGGGACTCTCAGCACCCTGCTGGGAAAATGGACAGCAAGCTCACAGAGAAGGAGCAGGGCCCTGGGATGGGAGACTCGGCCTTGCCAAGCCTTCAAGAGTAGATGCAGTCTTCCACACCCTACAGTTGCCTGACTTCCCACCATTGCTGCTGTTTTAGAGGATAGCTCCAAGGTGGCAGGAATTGGGGGCAAGCAGAGGGGGGTAGATGTAGAGAATTGCTTAGTTACTTTAATTAGGAACCCATGCTAAATAAATGCATAAATGTATTATTCAGGACTAAATGTATATTGAATGAATACCCTCCCAGCACCTGCTTGGGAAAAAGCATAAAGCATTGAATATCCCTTCTAATGCATGCATGCGTTTGTTTATTTCTGGTACCACCATTACCTTAGAATCTTATTGAACTAGGGGCCAGCAGGTTGTGTGGTGGTTAAGGGGCCAGATCCCCACATGGCCAACCGCAGTTAGAGTTCTGGACTTGGCGACTTGCTTTCTCATTTTCCCTTTCTCTTTCTTTTTTTTCTCTGATCAAAAGCAAAAAATAACAAAAAATCAAATCAAATCAAATAAATAAATAAGACCTTTTTAAATAAAAAAAGAATCTTATTGAACTAAACTTTATTTATCTATTTATTAAATAAAGCTTAGATCTGTTTAGTGTGCACAGGACCAAGAGAGTATGAGTGCATATGTGCGCAACCCGTAGTAGGGCCTGGTCATGCTGCCATCCCCTTTCTTCCATTTCTCCTCCCTGAGCATGCATGCATGGGATCCTGGGCATGCATGCAGGTATGCCTGGAATGTTGCTACCAGGACCAGGATTTGAACCAGTCAGCCATGTGGGATCCAGTTCCCTCTGCACAGTGGTTAACCACTGTGCTATGAAACTGACCCCGGACTAACATGAGCAAAATCCTTTTCTATCAGTGTCAGGTTTATTTCCAAAGAGCACCATACACATGTTATTTCTTTTAATTTTTTTAAGAGTGAGATTTTAGCCAGAGAGACAGAGACAGACAGACAGAAAGTGAGAAATCACCCATCAGGAGGGATGGCCACATCTCAGTCCCTTCTTCATTCTCCTCTTGGGATTTTGAGCATGCACACACGCATGCGTGGTGTGAGTTTTAAGCTGCTAGGTCCAGGACTCAAACTGTGGTCAACTACATGGGAGTCCAACAATGTAACCATTATGCAATCTGCTGGTCCCATACACATGTTACTTCTATCCATGTCTAGAGAATATACTTTAACATGTTCATGGAATTTTAAATTAATTAGCCTTTGACCTCTGGAAACATGTTTTCATTTTGATTGCAAATGCATTCAGTTGGTTAATATTAGAGAAACCCTTCATTGTCTACCTCATAATCCACTTATGGGTTCGGCAGATAGAACACTTCAATTTTAAAAAGTTTAGAAAACTGGGGCTGACCCCATAGCTTAGTGGTTTAGGGAGCCACATTCTACATGTCCACCCCCAGTATGAATCCCAGCCTCAGCAGCTTGTGCATGCACGCCCCTCAACAGGGTGGGGAAATGGGAGAGAAGGGATTGTGGCATGACCGTACCCCATTAGGAGGTGCTTTCTCCCTCTCCCTCCCCTCTTTTCTCCTGGCAAGCACACATGCCCTCTGGCATTAAAAGAGAAGTTTAGAAATATAAAGGAAAAGATTTAACTAAATGAAACAGCTGGAGACATCTGTCATTTCAGTGATACTAAGTCCTAAAGGAAGATTTAATGGTATTGAAATGACAGATGTGTCCATAGTACTTCAGGTGTTCTTTCCAACTGGTCAAGAGTCAAGTGAAACAGTGTCATTTATCTTGATATACACTCTATATATTCCTTTTGTGACAAAATTTGCACTATATTCTGATTTATGACCAAGCCGAGAAATTGACAGGAAAAGTTAGTAATCCCCCCAAAATAAAACAGAAGAGTATTTACTCACATACATTATAGTTCATCTTTGTTCATTCTTGAAATGAGACTTTAGAGGAAATTTTTTTTTTCTGCAAATAACTAGCTCTCTTTGTAATCTAAAACTATGAGGCTGATACTGACTCCAAGAGTGAAAGCTGATGTAGTTGGTACATCCCAGCACACATACTTAAGACTTACTTCAGACAAAGACTAGATTTTGCCTGGCTGGGGCTGTGATAAGAAAGCCTTAGGTTTAAAGAATGGCAAACAGGGAGGTGGGGGAGGCTGTGATACTCATACTTTAAGCCATCCTCTAACACTCTTCCAACTGTCAGCTGACCCCTCTGGTTTCAGTCTTAAACACTGACTACCTAGTGTGAACTGACCTTGTGGGTTAACGTCGTGAGCAGTGGAGGAGGGAGAGTGTTCCCTGAAATGCCTCCACCCTCAGAAAACACAGAAGCGGTACAAAGGGCAGATGAGGATTTTTACTTATCTGTGTATTTGCATTCGGAAGAGAAAATGTTGGAAAGTGAGAGCTGCTTTGACCAAAGAGCACATTGGTGACTTACTTTTTTTTTGATCCAGTGCCATCTCCACGTCCTGACAATTCCTTCCATGAAAATAATGTGTCAACCAGAGTTTCCTCCCTACCTTCAGACAGCGGTTCTGGAACCAACCACTCAAAAAGACAACCAGCGTTTGATCCATGGTGAGTATTTCGGTTTTTGTTTGCACTGTTCTGTTTTGTTTGGTTTTCCTAATTGTAGATTTAAGAGATCAAAGAAACTCTAAGGAATGTTTTAGTTTTCTTTTGCTAGGCCTTTCTTTTTCTTTTTTCTTGAGTATAGGGTGCAAAAGTGAGACTCACACCCCGGGGAATGGCTGTACCATAGTCCCTTCTTTCCGGATCTTGGGCACACACGTACATGTGCCTGGTGTGATTTCAAGTGGCCAGATCCAGGACTTGAACTGCATAGTTGGCCACGTGGGATCCATTTGCCTTAACCTCCATGCCACCTGGTGGCCCCATGCTAGGCCTTTCTTAAGAGAAATCATCGGATAAGAAAAATGGGATTTATCGAGGTGGCAGGTGGCGTGGTGGTTAAAGGAGTTGGATTCCCACATGGCCAACCATAGTTCGAGCCCTGGACCTGGCGACTTGCTTTCTTGCTTTCCCTTTCTCTCTCTCTCTCTGTTTATGTCTGGTCAGAATTAAAAAATAATAACAAATGGAAGTAAATAAATCTTTTAAAAATGTGATTTATCATTATTTGTATTTTTTTCAAGTTCAGCATTATAGACACTATCATCTAAAGGAAATAGATTAGTAAATACCTCATAAGTCTTCCATTGTGTTCTTGTGACATGAATGATGGCTTTTACAGCCTCTTTCCTTTATTTTATTTTATTTTTAAATTTTTCCATAATGCGCATATACTCACCAGAAAGAGGTGGGGAGAAGAGTAAGAAAGCAACCCCCATGTAAGATGGCCATGCCATAACCCCTTCTCACTTCAGGATTTGGGGCACATATACACACGTGCCTGATGTGTTTTTCAAACTGCCTGTTCAGAGACTCGAACTGCATGGTCGGCCCATGTGGGATCCAGCCTCCTTAGCCACCATGTCACTTGCTGGCTCCTCCTTCCTTTATTGACAGTAAACCATATCCAGACACTTTGCTGAGGAGCTTGTGCATTGTCTCAGTTCTCATAATCGGGCTTTGAAATAGGGATCATTCCTACTCTACAGATGAGGAAACTGAAGCTTAGAAAAGTCAGGGACCTCGCTTGGTGTTGGACAGTCGAAGTGAGTAAGATGAGGCCCAGTAAGAGGCTCAGCCTGGTAGCACAGTCAGTAACATACTGAACTGCAGTGCTGGAAACACACAGCCAACTATGGATTCAGATCCCTAGCCCAGTCAACCTGAAACATGCCAGGTGCACACATGTGTTTCCAAGGTCCCGACAAGGTGCATGACAAGGGGAAGGGAATCATGGCATGATGAAACCCTGTCAAGAGTACTTTTTGTTCTCTATCACTTTTGCATGTGCACAAACATGCTTTATTTTGTGAATAAAATAAATAAACTTTAAATAGAAAAAAATATATATATATGGAGGAGTGAGCCAGGAATCAGATTTACATGGGTTCTGACTCCAGAGCTCACGATTTTTGCCTCTCTACCACCTGACTTTCCTTTAGGCTAGGAAGACAGAAATAAGGCAACAACTCTTTATGGTACTATAAAAGCATAGCAGTAGACAGAGTTTCAAGTGATATGGCAACTTCTCTTATCCTTTCATCTTTTAGTGCCCTATGTAATATAAATTTAGGGAGAGAATTTACAACATAGATCACATTCCATAAGTTGGTCTGTCTGGTGAATAAGAACTTTTTTAAATTAAAAAAAAAATTAAAGAAAAAGGGACCAGTGGGTGGCTTGGTGGTTAAGGTGCTGGACACTCCCACATGGCTGACCATGGTTCAAGTCCCAGACCTGGTGACTTGCTTTCTCACTTTCCCTCTGTTTCTCTTTCTCTCTCTATCTTTCTCTGGTCAAATTAAATAAATGAATGAATAAATAAAAATCAAATAATTCTTTAAAAAAACAAGTAGAGCAAAAATTGAAGTTGCACATCATAATGTGCTGTTCTTTGTTAAAAAAAAAATAAATATGGTATTATCCTTGGTTTGATTATCGAACACTGCATGCATGCTTTGAAAATCCATATTTGTATCCCACAAACATGTGCAACAATTAAATATAAATAAGAAATTATAATAAGTAAGTAAAGAAAGAAAGAAACTAATGATAAAAAATAATAATGATGAGGCCAGCAGGAGGCATAGTGGTTAAGGCACTGGACCCCTGGTTTGAGTCCCAGACCTGGTGTCGTGAGACTCACATCTGGTACATGTGCTTGTGTGCTCAAAATCCTGAGAGGAGAGTAGAGGAGAAGGGATTGCAGTGTGGCCATCCCACCCCCCCCCCCTGGGGGATTTCTTGCTTTCTATCTCTCTGGTGAGCACACGTGCCCTATAGCAAAAATCTCTAATAATAATAATAATAATGTACTTTTTTTTTTGGAGAGATTTTTTTTCGCTATAGGGTGTGTGCGTTCGCCAGACAGACAGAGAGAGACATAGAGACAGAAAGTGAGAGACATAGAGACAGAAAGCGAGAGAGGGGGGATGGTCATGCCTCAATCCCTTCTCCTCCATTCTCCTCTTGGGATCTTGGGCACGCACGCACACGCGCCCGGCGTGAGTTTTAAGCCACCGGGTCTGGGACGCGAATCGCGGTCGACTACGTGGGAGTCCAGCAACATAGCCATTATGCTAACTGCTGGTTCCCAATAATGTACTTTTTATTCTCCATGTACTTTTTATTTAGTCTCTGTCTGGAAACCCTGCCCAGAATCTAGATGGGAGGGCTGTTTCTGTGTACTTTGTGAAACTAAGTTCTCCATGCGGAGAATAAAATGGGGCTTCACTAGAGCACATCAGTTTTCTAATAAGGCCAGTCTGCTGGAGAGTCCGTTTCTGATGTTTGTCACCAGAAGTAACAGAAGGGCTTTATGTCAGCACTCCTGATCCTAGATGGTCTCACTGTTTGCCCCTTTTGGCAGGGTTATATCAAGGTGTCAGTGTTAATGTGCCCTCTGGTGAAAATTACTTAGTTATTCTTTAAGAATAATAAAAATCACTTTTCTAATGCTGTAGATACACTTTTTCTACATAATGCATTTTATGTCCATTGCCTTATTTATAAAACAAAACAGTTCTTAACATTAGTGATTAAGCATTTGGGGCCCTGGAAACACATGAGGTAGCACATTAAAAGCACCTAGAACAGTGCCTGGCCCCGTAGGTGCCGTTAATGTCAGAAGCTGCAGTTATAATCATTAATGTCATCTAACATCAGTGTGACTTGTCAGGTGTTCCCCGTCCACTTTACTTTGCTGATAAACTTGGGTGCATTCTCCTTCCATGTGACTATCTTTTGATCTCCAGTATTTAGGAAAGATCTATGCAGTAACCCAAGGGCACAAATACGACCTCTTTTAGTTACCAGGTGTGGTTTTGACACACCATGGGAATAATGTGTAAATTGTGAGAAGGAACTGGCTTTCTCTGGATCGTGGCACAATGAAGTGGTGATGGTTTAAAAAGAACGCCAATGGGGCTGGCAGGTGGCATGGGGGTTAAGGTGCGAGACTCCCACGTGGTTTAAGTGCCAGACCTGACAGCTTGTGTTCTCACTTTTTCTGTCTCTGTCTCTATCTCTGTCTCTGTCTCTCTCTGGTCAAATTTTTAAGAATTAAATAATAAAATAATTTTTAAAAAGCATCAGTTACAGGGGCTGGCAGGTGGCATGGTGGTTAAGGGCACTGGACTCCCACATGGTCGACCAGGGTTCGAGTCCCAGACTTGGTGGCTCGCTTTCTCACTTTCCCATTCTCTCGCTTTCTCACTGTGTCCCTCTCTGATCAATTTTTTTAAAATCAAATAAATAAAGTTAAGTAAAATAATGCTATATATATATATATGCATCAATTACAGATTCCTATAGTCCTGTGAAGAGTAGGTAGGTCAGATCAGAATTATAATAAATCCACATGTGGGATAGGCAGTGTTAGCAGTGCGTTGTTCCTGTCTTTTTGATCATCAGTTTGAGTAGGACTTATTTACGTAGAAACCTGAAAATAGTCGCTTTACAAAGAATGAGAGGCACGGTTGGAACATAGAACTTCAGCCAAGTCCTCATCGAGTCATCCTTCCTCTAGTGTTGCTGTTATGGGGCTTGAGAAGGTTCCAGAATTGCCAGTGATGGATTATCTGTATTCTTTTGCTCTCATACCCCTCATGAAAATGCATCTATGACACTTCTCCTTCATGTGTCACATCTTAGTCTAAGACATTAATTAAACTTTACTCATCTTGATTTTTTTGAACCAGATCTGTAATTGGTTCCTCATTTTCTTTGTATCTGAAAGAAATGCACCTCTGGTGACTGTCACAAAAATACAAGAGCCTTGTTACGGTAACAGTGACTTGCTCTTCCCAAAGTGTTGCTCACCTAAGGGCAGTGCTTCTCCTTGATAGGAGTACTTTAAATGTCTTTAGGAAGTACATTTCTGTACAGTGTGCACATTTCTTACAGTGGGAAGATCAAGCTACTATGTCATATTTTAAAGCCATAAGTCAATATTGTACTCAGAGCTGGGATTCTGGCTGTCTCTGCTATCCAGAGCCCACTCAGGCACTGGGAGATAAGCCATAAGATCTCTAAACAAGAAAAACCAGTTCATGGAGTCAGATTCATCATCTTTGATAGGATAACACCTATCGGTGCCTGTTTATTCTTCTTTTACACCCAGTTTTAGCAGTTGGCACCAGGGCCGTCAGAACAAGCATTAGTGCCGGGAAATGGCAGCATGGGCAGGGAGAACCGCCCCACGCTGTAACTATGAAGAGGAGCAGGTGTTTCTGTCTGTCATCAGGCCCCTGGTGGAAAAATCATAAATGTTAGAGGTATCCACGTAGAAAGTGTGTTTATGAGAGAGGAGCTTTTACATTGCTGAAAAAAAAAAAAAAGACCAAGTGGGGTGTGTGTGCATGCATGCCCAAAATCCTGAGAGGAGAATGGAGAACAAGGGATTGTGGTGTGGCCCTTCTCCCTGGGGGATGATTTCTCGCTTTCTG